GCTGTCTTATATATGACAGCAATTTTAAAATGGTGTTTTAAGAAAAACAAAACATTTTCCGGGTTTCTACCGAGTTTTAGTATAAATCTCTGATTGGCTACGTTACTCACTATCTATTCTGTTGTACATAAAGAGTAGCCTAGCAGTGTGCGTTTGTTAACGAACTGGCGGCCGCTACTCTACGTTTTGGAAATGTCTGTAAAGACGATTTAAATTATAGTTTTGAATTACTAGTAGATTTATACTAGAGCAATTGGATTATTCGCTATAAGGCGATAGAAATCTCGAGCTCGCAGTCTAATGGACAATGTTCCTTATGAGACGCGCCTGTAAGGAACCATGGTAGTTGTATTTGTCCGGCTAAGAGGGTCAAAAGTACAAGAGGTATTGTCAGCTGAGAAGTGGGAAAAAAAATTAGCAAGATGACAATAAAAGGTTCAACTGAATCGTGCATGGATAAAGCGAGTCTTTTTCTTAATTAATAAGGTGGGGGTTAAAAATATAACAGGAATGTGGAGTCAGAATGAGCACTGAGGTAGTCCTAACGTTGTAAAAGTCTGTTTCACAAATTCGCTTTGGCGGTTAATTTACCTCTTTCAGCTTCAAGGTCAATAGCCAAGTTGATACAAAAATAGAAACTTGGGCTCAAGTCTCTGAAAACAACAATGTCTTAAAACGCTTAACAGTAGTTATTGTATTTATTTTGTCACAGGAAAGATTGTCAAGCGCATTTAAAATGAGACAAAAGAATCTGGGAATTTTACAGAAGTTGTAAACACATTAAGGTACAGGTGCTCTTCGTTATGACATCGAAAAATTATGATGTATTGTAAAAGAGATCCACAACTTGACAGTTTGAAGGTCTCGTAGTGGACTAAAAACGATGAAGGTAAAAATTAATATTAACTCTATTGAGTGTTGTCACAACGCCTTCTCGTCAAGTTTTGTTATAAGTAAGGCTAACGTTCCCCGACTTATCTTTTTTTTTTTTTAAGATAACAACTCGGTTATATTGTTATTTAAAATTATTCCACGATTTGTTATGACTAAGATTTCCTTCGTTAACTAAGTCACTTTTTACATTACATCAGATTTCCGCAATTGTACGTATCGCGAAAAACGCTTAATGTCGTAAAATTTCGTATAAAAATAAATTTGATCATGACAGAAATAGTAATCCATAACTGCCATCCTGTATTTGCTTTATAGCTTTTAGGTTTCCTGTTATAGAATTTATGTATTAAAAACACCCACTGAAGTCAAGTTAATATTGCAGAAGGTATTTGCGAATAACGTCAGCTTCCCAGTGTATCGGTGCAAAATCAACAGGAGAGGATGACAACAGGCAAGGAAATAAAAGAAAAGAAAGCTGTCGAGATCAATGCATAAATTGGTCACATACGTGCGGAAAGTAAGAAATCTATGGTTCTTCTAATGAACTTCATTGAAACCATAATCGTGCAAATTTTGTGGATTTTATCAATTTTGTGTGAATTTGCTTCAAAATCTCGTTCGTGTTTTCTGATGGAAAAGTTATGGCCACATGGAATACTTACAGTTGTTTGCATTTTTCTTTTAGGATGCCTCTTGTTTGCCCATCAAAAATAATCTTTTGGGTTGTCTACAACATGATTTTCACAGCAGCGTGCCAGATAAAGCCTTGTACAGTGAGACAATACCACTTTTCCAGAGAAAGGGACAGTGTGGAAAATTACGCTCTCTGTGGTTACAGTTTTAGAAATCTCACTGTTAGCAGCCACAAGAATTGCTTTGAGCATTGCGCATGGGACTGTCGGTGCATCTCTTTCAACTATCTGATAACTGCAAACAAGGACAACTGTCAACTGAATGATGGAAACAGACATCTGAATCCCAGGGCTTTGAAAAGAAGAGACGGGCACAGCTACCACGAGATTGGAATTGATTATAACGTTAAGGTACGAGAGAAAGTGAAATTTGCTTATAAACGCATTTACTGACGATGCGCTTCTTGTTAGAGATACTGCTAAACAAAATGACAGCGGCTTGTTAGGTTGTTAGGTATTGTCACCTTTGCTAGGTAACATAAGAGAAGGGTTACATGATGACCTAGGTGAGGAGCTGCTACGTAACTTACGAGAGTTTGCTTTATAACCCAAGAGAGAGGTTGCTAGGTAACACGAGGGATTTTCAGGTTACGTCACCAGAGGTTGCTATGTAACATGAGAGAGAGGTTCCTGGGTAACACGAAAGAGAGATGTTACAGGGTAACGTAAGAGATAAGTTGCTAGGTAATAAGAGAAAAAGGTTGCTAGGTAACATAAGAAAGAGGTTGCTATAGGTGACAAGAGAAAAAAATTGCTATACTACAGATAAAGAGACATAATGCTGTCTGACTAGAAAAATTGAGAGGTCACGAGAAAAACAGAAGTTGCTTGGCAAAATGGCAGAGTGCTTGCATGTTAGTTATAATGACGGGCAGGTTGCTGGGAAACATGACGCAAAGGTTACCAGGTAAAATGGCAGAGAGGCTGTTAGGTATCATGACAGAAAGGTTGCCAGTATAGGTACCATGACAAGATAGGTTGCTGTAGGTATTATGGCAGAGGAGTTCTAGGTAAAAAGAAGAGAGATTGTTATGTAACATGCGTGGTATAGAAGGTGTAAGGTATCATGACAGATAACATGAAAAGTTAATGACATTCTCAACAAGGTAAAGCACAGTTTTGTAACCCGAGGAGCTTTGACTTTGACTGATTAGGCATTTAGAATTTAGAACATTCCTAGGAGTGTTGTTCAAATGAGCCAGTCACTCTATAAACTACATGATGAATAGAAAGAATAGCTGTAATCTAATTGGTAAAGTGTGCGGTCTTAAGCTTGTTAATCCCATCAATGAATAATAATAATAATAATAATATAATAATAATAATAATAGTAATATAATAATAATCACTTTATTATATCGAATTACATGTATGCCACTGACATCAGTTGCTTTTGTTGCGTTTTTCGCGAAAAAAAAAAGCGCACTTCTGATTAAAACAATTATATAGAATTCAATGCATGTTCTGCTATTTAATTAGGATCTTCTTGATGTCAATGTAACATTCAATCCACCTTTTTGTTATCATTAAGCCAGGAACAAAATGTACGCACTGTTACAATGGTTGCTGTCACGGAAATGATCTCTGTTTAAACGGTGGAACATGCCAAGAGCTCTGTGAAGCCAACAACAGAAGGTTTAGATGCAAATGCATGCCAGGTTACTCAGGGAGGTTTTGCGACAAAGGTGAGGGTCATTGGCTGATGTGCAAANCATGCCAAGAGCTCTGTGAAGCCAACAACAGAAGGTTTAGATGCAAATGCATGCCAGGTTACTCAGGGAGGTTTTGCGACAAAGGTGAGGGTCATTGGCTGATGTGCAAATGAGGATATACATATGTTATTGGCCGGCTAGGAGGTCGGTATAGTGAAAAACTGCGACCGAGGTCTAGAAAGCATTTTGTTAGCATTAGTTGTACTGCAGAATTTGTTGAATTTCGCCCGCTCACGAGCTGAGAAAAAGATAAAACGATGGAATGCAAACTTGAAATGCTAACAGGCAGCATGTCACTATATTCTACGGACGTTTTTTCACTTAGAAGGTGGCGAGGTGATGATCTCGATCATTTAAATTCTGACAATTTCCATGTTCTTTTCAACAAAGCTCGAGCTCATCCAAGAAGCTGCGCAGAGATTAAGAAACAAGGTGGCACAACAGATGGAGTTTACATGGTTGATCCGGATGGTATGGGAGCCTTTCAAGTCTTTTGCCAACAGAATAATGTCGCGGAAGCCTGGGCCGTGATTCAACGAAGACTGGACGGCTCGGTCGACTTTTACCGCGGCTGGGAAGACTACAAAAGAGGTTTTGGACACCTGAATGGCACGTTTTGGCTCGGACTTGAAAAGATTCACCGCCTGACCAATAAGACAAACCAACACAAGTTGAGAGTAGAGCTGGAAAACTTCGCTGGCTCCTCGTGTTATGCAGAATATGATAACTTTACTGTGAATGGTGAAGATGACGGATATCGACTGGCACGTCTTGGATTTTATCAAGGTATTTATGTTTTTTTCAGCCTCCAGACTATAGGTAGCCTTTTTTCCCTCCTCAATTCATCAGGAATTCAACTCAGCAAATGCCATACTAATGGAAAAGCTCGACAAAGATCCGGCCGTCCTCTTTCTCTGATCATGATTGGTTCTTACTTGCGCACCAAAATGTATACCAATAGACAACCAAAAACACTACACCTGTCCTGGTATGCTACATCAACAGCATGGATGTTTGTTTTGTTTTGCTTTGTTTTGCTTTGTTTTGCTTTGTTTTGCTTTGTTTTGCTTTGTTTTGCTTTGTTTTG